AACCACTGACCAGCGTACTTCTTACGAGCACGCCAGCCACCACGATGGCTTTGCACAGGCATGGTAAGCTACAGCAAATTCAGTGTTGACATATTGCTTTCTTACCAAAACGTGGTTTCTTTTTAATTGTTTCCCTACGTCGATAATTGATACAATACAACCTTGAATTATTTTGAAACCTTCCAAGCACAATCGGCAAGTAGCTTCGAGTACTGGAAGATGTCCAAAATTGTTCCACGGAACAGCTACTGCGACAACCTTAATCATATGTGTTCGCCTCAAGGCGTGAAATTCAATATTGTGCCTAAAATATACAATACATGCGAAAAAAAACTTCCGCTTGCCGTCTTAAGCCGAAAACACAAAGGTAATAACTGATACGGCTGCAGCAAGAGCATGTCCAAACATGACACCAGGTGAAAAGACACTGTCGAACTGTCCGAACCAAGTCCAATACAATATGCACAGAGACACACCAAAGCAATTCAGAAGCCTCATCATGTCAACCGCTGTGCTCGGCAGGTGCGCTATCTGGCAAGGCACTTCTGGCTCGGCAGGTGCGCTATCTATCTATCTATCTATGTATCTATCTATCTATCTATCTATGTATCTATCTATCTATCTATCTATCTGTCTGTCAAACCTGCCAGGCCGACGTGAACATGCAGCCTGCAGGTCAAAAATGCCAGCTCAAACATGGCAGGGAGACGAATGGCGTAAGCCATGTATATCAAACATGCCAAGCCTTGGCCAAAAAAGGCCACCTGAAGGCCAAAAAAGGCCACCTGAAGGCCAAAAATGCCAGCAAAAACATGACAGGGAGACGTAAGCTATCTATCTAACAAACTATTTATCTATCTACCTATACCTATCTATCTATCTATCTATTTATCTATCTATCTATGTATCTATCTATCTATCTATCTATCTGTCAAACCTGCCAGGCCGACGTGAACATGCAGCCTGCAGGTCAAAAATGCCAGCTCAAACATGGCAGGGAGACGAATGGCGTAAGCCATGTATAGCAAACATGCCAAGCCGACACCAAAAAAGGCCACCTGAAGGCCAAAAAAGGCCACCTGAAGGCCAAAAATGCCAGCAGAAACATGACAGGGAGACGTAAGCTATCTATCTAACAATCTATTTATCTATCTACCTATATCTATCTATCTATCTATCTATCTATGTATCTATCTATCTATCTATCTATCTGTCAAACCTGCCAGGCCGACGTGAACATGCAGCCTGCAGGTCAAAAATGCCAGGTCAAACATGGCAGGGAGACGAATGGCGTAAGCCATGGATATCAAACATGCCAAGCCAACGCTGTCAAACCTGCCAGGCCGACATGAACATGCAGCCTGCAGGTCAAAAATGCCAGCTCAAACATGGCAGGGAGACGAATGGCGTAAGCCATGTATATCAAACATGCCAAGCCTTGGCCAAAAAAGGCCACCTGAAGGCCAAAAAAGGCCACCTGAAGGCCAAAAATGCCAGCAAAAACATGACAGGGAGACGTAAGCTATCTATCTAACAAACTATTTATCTATCTACCTATACCTATCTATCTATCTATTTATCTATCTATCTATGTATCTATCTATCTATCTGTCAAACCTGCCAGGCCGACGTGAACATGCAGCCTGCAGGTCAAAAATGCCAGCTCAAACATGGCAGGGAGACGAATGGCGTAAGCCATGTATATCAAACATGCCAAGCCGACGCCAAAAAAGGCCACCTGAAGGCCAAAAATGCCAGCAAAAACATGACAGGGAGACGTAAGCTATCTATCTAACAAACTATTTATCTATCTACCTATATCTATCTATCTATCTATGTATCTATCTATCTATCTATCTGTCAAACCTGCCAGGCCGACGTGAACATGCAGCCTGCAGGTCAAAAATGCCAGGTCAAACATGGCAGGGAGATGAATGGCGTAAGCCATGGATATCAAACATGCCAAGCCGACGCTGTCAAACCGGCGAGGCCGACGTGAACATGCAGCCTGCAGGTCAAAAATGCCAGCTCAAACATGGCAGGGAGACGAATGGCGTAAGCCATGGATATCAAACATGCCAAGCCGACGCCAAAAAAGGCCACCTGAAGGCCAAAAAAGGCAACCTGAAGGCCAAAAAAGGCCACCTGAAGGCCAAAATGCCAGCAAAGACATGACAGGGAGACGTAAGCTACCTATGTAACGATCTATTTATCTATCTACCTATCTAAGTATCTATCTATGCATCCATCCATGCATCCATCCATCTATGTCTCTATCTCTCCATCCATCCATCTATCTATGTCTCTCTCCCTATCTCTCTCTCTCTCTCTCTCTCTCCCTCTCTCTCTCTCTCTCTCCCTATCTCTCTATCTATCTATCGATCGATCGATCTATCTGTCTATCTATCCATGCATCCATCCATCAATCAATCCATCTATCTATTTCTCTCTCTCTCTCTCTCTCTGTCTCTCTATCTATCTATCAGACCTGTCTATCTATCTATCTGTCTATCTGTCCTTACATCAGGATATCTATCTATCTACCAATCAATCTATCTATCCATCGATCGATCTCTCTGGCTATCTATCCATCTATCTATCGATCTATCTAGCAATCTATCTGTTCAATCTATCCATCAACAATCCATCCATCCTGCATGAGTGAGTGAGTGAGTAAGTGAGTGAGTGAGTGAGTGTGTGAGTGAGTGAGTGAGTGAGTAAGTACATGTTCCACGCCTGCCAGGGCGTATATCTGACCCCTTGGCAGTGCACATTGTCTTACGCCTGCCACGCAAAAGCGGCGGAGGCCCATGCCTGCCACGCAAAAGAGCCGGAGCCCCAAGGGACGTTAGGGCGTACATCAGACCCCTTGGCAGTGCACATTGTCCCACGCCTGCCACGCAAAAGAGGCGGAGCCCCAAGGGACGCCAGGGCGTACATCAGACCCCTTGGCAATGCACATTGTCCCACGCCTGCCGCGCAAAAGAGGCGGAGCCCCAAGGGACGCCAGGGCGTACATCAGACCCCTTGGCAATGCACATTGCCCCACGCCTGCCACGCAAAAGAGGCGGAGCCCCAAGGGACGCCAGGGCGTACATCCAACCCCTTGGCAGTGCAGATTGTCCCACGCCTGCCACGCAAAAGCGGCGGAGCCCCAAGGGACGCCAGGGCGTACACCCAACCCCTTGGCAGTGCAGATTGTCCCACGCCTGCCACGCAAAAGCGGCGGAGCCCCAAGGGACGCCAGGGCGTACATCCAACCCCAGGCCTGCCACGCAAAAGAGGCGGAGCCCCAAGAGACGCCAGGGCGTACATCCAACCCCTTGGCAGTACACATTGTCCCACGCCTGCCACGCAAAAGAGGCGGAGCCCCAAGGGACGCCAGGGCGTACATCAGACCCCTTGGCACTGCACATTGTCCCACGCCTGCCACGCAAAAGCGGCGGAGCCCCAAGGGACCCCATTGGCAGTGCACATTGTCGCACGCCTGCCACACAAAAGAGGCGGAGCCCCAAGGGACGCCAGGGCGTACATCAGACCCCTTGGCAGTGCACATTGTCCCACGCCTGCCACGCAAAAGCGGCGCCCCAAGGGACGCCAGGGCGTACATCCAACCCCTTGGCAATGCAGATTGTCCCGCGCCTGCCACGCAAAAGAAGCGGAGCCCCAAGGGACGCCAGGGCGTACATCCAACCCCTTGGCAGTGCAGATTGTCCCACGCCTGCCACGCAAAAGAAGCGGAGCCCCAAGGGACGCCAGGGCGTACATCCAACCCCTTGGCAGTGCAGCTTGTCCCACGCCTGCCACGCAAAAGAGGCGGAGCCCCAAGGGACGCCAGGGCGTACATCCAACCCCTTGGCAGTGCAGATTGTCCCACGCCTGCCACGCAAAAGCGGCGGAGCCCCAAGGGACGCCAGGGCGTACATCCAACCCCTTGGCAGTACACATTGTCCCACGCCTGCCACGCAAAAGAGGCGGAGCCCCAAGGGACGCCAGGGCGTACATCAGACCCCTTGGCACTGCACATTGTCCCACGCCTGCCACGCAAAAGCGGCGGAGCCCCAAGGGACGCCAGGGCGTACATCAGACCCCTTGGCAGTGCACATTGTCGCACGCCTGCCACACAAAAGAGGCGGAGCCCCAAGGGACGCCAGGGCGTACATCAGACCCCTTGGCAGTGCACATTGTCCCACGCCTGCCACGCAAAAGCGGCGGAGCCCCAAGGGACGCCAGGGCGTACATCCAACCCCTTGGCAGTGCACATTGTCCCACGCCTGCCACGCAAAAGAGGCGGAGCCCCAAGGGACGCCAGGGCGTACATCCAACCCCTTGGCAGTGCACATTGTCCCACGCCTGCCACGCAAAAGAGGCGGAGCCCCAAGGGACGCCAGGGCGTACATCAGACCCCTTGGCAGTGCAGATTGTCCCACGCCTGCCACGCAAAAGCGGCGGAGCCCCAAGGGACGCCAGGGCGTACATCCGAGCCCTTGGCAGTGCACATTGTCCCACGCCTGCCACGCAAAATGCACATGAGTGAGCGAGTGCGTGAGTATGTGAGTGTGTGAGTGTGTGTGTGTGTGTGAGTGAGAGTGAGAGTGAGAGTGAGAGTGAGAGTGAGTGAGTGAGTGAGTGAGAGTGAGTGAGTGAGTGAGTGAGAGTGAGTGAGTGAGTGAGTGAGAGTGAGTGAGTGAGTGTGAGTGAGTGAGAGTGAGTGAGAGTGAGTGAGTGAGTGTGAGTGAGTGAGAGTGAGTGAGTGTGAGTGAGTGAGTGTGAGTGAGTGTGTGTGAGTGAGTGAGTGAGGGAGAGAGGGAGGACGGGAAGGAGGACGACGAGGAGCGGATACAGAACTAAAAACAAAAACCCCACACGTCAATGTGGGGAAAAACAGGGGTTTGGCAATATATCATCAACTGTATGGCTCTCATTGTATCACTTCAACTGTGTTTTCAGCAGCGATTTTAGCACAACCGTCCCCTCCACGCCGCTCATTTTCTGGCACATCATGGCGCCTTGGTAAACATGGCCAATCTCTTGCTCTGATTACTGAGTTGATCAGGCTGACCCATACCCATATCTGGACATCAAAGGGAAAAAAGTCTAATCCCTAGAAAAACAAGTGGAAGAAAGGCATCGGACATGACAAGGGTCTCACCATCTCAACTGCTCAAAATCTGTGTGCCGAACGTCATGAAATCGAACTTGATCTGTGACCTGCGCAAGTTCATAGCGACGCTGCATGGTGGTACCTAATCTCTTGCAAAGAAGAGTTACAAGCCAATTCCACCTTTATCCAGTGGCAAGTCCAATCTAGATTTCTATGATTCCATCATTTACTGGGATAAGTTTTGTCAGCCATAGATGTCACAAACACACAGACATGATCTTTCTGCAGGTCCGAACAACTAGTCCGTGCAGCGACTCGACTCCCAGTACCTGAATCACTTGTCGCAAACCTTCCAACTTGGCCTCGGCCACAAAATTTCAGGCCTTCCCCATGGCTGTTTCCCCAACGAGCTAACTGTCCTGGCTCACCATCCAACCAGCAATATGGTTGCTTCTCTAGGGACCTATCACAGCTATCTATGAGGGAACATGGCATCGAAACGGAGATTTTTTGCATCGACAGCTGACAGCAACGGTGTTGGAAACCAAATGGTCTGCTGTTTGGTGCAACAGCACCGTCCCAGTCACGCGACAGGCACTCCGACGACTTTCGACCTGGCAGGTGAATTTGTAGCATTGTCATGAGCAACGGACTGTTAGTATGGAAGTATATGGAAGTATATGGAAGTATATGGAAGTATACCCAAATCCTTTGGTAGTTGGTATAGCATAGTCATGATATGTCATGATCTAAATGGTTGTAGACTCATGGCTAATCTTGGAAACCCTGCAGAAGAGTTCATGTACTGAGCTGGCTTTTCCGGACTTGTTCATTTATGGTAAAACAGAAAGGCCACAAATAAACCAAACCAAGGTTGACCCAGCACTGTATCATTTCCAGTCCTACCCCAAGAAGGCGTTGTACATGGCCATGTGAACTTCCCAGAAATCAACCAAACAGAACAAATAGCAGTTTTGTATAGAGTTTCATGAACTCTAACTAGTGGTTGAAGCAGTTTGCACATTGAGAACATTTTTGCGTGGGAATTTCCATTGTTTCCCGGACATCACTTCCATCATCTTCATCCACCACGTCAGGAATCATGGGCTCCCTAGGCTCCCTACATCCCCTTCAAAGAGAAGCGCGTCGTAGAGTTCTTCTTTGTACAACCTTGGTACCCAGGACCTGGCATGGCATGGTCGGTCTGGTTGATGGAGATGCTTAGTCGCGACATCCCCATAAATTCATCCCATGAAATCACCATTAATCACTGTGAAAAAAACTACTAAGCATGGTGTTACCCTCTGGTAAACTGTCACATAACTATGGAAAATGGTCATTTTTCATGGGAAAATCCACTATAAATGGTGGATCTTTCCATAGTTATGTGACGGTTTACCAGAGGGTAATCATCATAGGCATCTTTCTTAAGCCATGGGGTGAGCCTCCAAGCTCCGGCGCTTGGGAGCCCCGCCGAGTGACGCACTCGCTTTGGATTGCATCTTTCAACGAGCTCACCTGACACTGCCGGACGGCAAAGCATTCCAAACAAGAAACCATGCAGAAACCATCTGATCTTCAGACATTGAATTCAAAAATCATTAAACATCATTAAACTACATTATCAAAGAGATGCAGAAGTTGTGGGAACTCAGCTGTTTCAGAAATTTGTGACGTCCCTTCCTGCCCGCCTGCCCTGGATCTGCAGATACACCGGCGCCGCTGACCTGAACAGTGAGAAGAAACTCTCAGTTTCAACCTGAGTTTTGTTTCAATATCAACAAGCAACAAACATAAAGATAAATTTAAATACATACAGTACCTATATGATACGTATATGATATATTCAATCTATAGTATTTATATGAGATATTATATCTATTATATATTCACATATCATGTGTGGCAAGACTCACTTCATTGACTCAGCAGCGAGCCAAAAAGAACATGATGGCCTTGGGCACCTGAGTCTGTCAGATGTGTCTCGCAGAGCTGAGATGCAAAGTGAATCAGTTACTGGTTATAATATGGTTACGGGGTTACAATGGCTAATATAGTTGGTTAGTTATGGTTAGTTATGGTTAGTTATGGCTAGTTATGGTCACCATAAAATGGTGAGTTCACATTGGTTGATGGCTGATGGCTGATGAGTTATGGTTATCATATGGCTGATGGCTGGTTGATAATGGTCCTTTATTGGTTGATGGCTGATGGCTGGCTGATGCTTAATGTGATGTGAAAAAAAGGGAAATGCTGATGGGGCTTTCTGACATGGCTGTTCTAGTGGGAGATAAAACCAACCATCTAAAGGGGACACACAATGGGGACATGATGGTTGAAATATCAATCATTATGGCACACCTGGATATTTGACAACAATACCTGGGATGTAATTATAATATATTATAATTGGGATATAATACCAACAAGTATTGGGATATAATTGAGCTGTAGTTGGTAGCGATTTCATGGGAAGATTGTGAGTAGTGAGTGGGGATGTAATCACCGGCTGGGTTAAATTGGAATCATCATTCCGCCTGTTGGATGGACATTACGACTTAAAACCACCAAACACTCATTGTCACATGCTAAACACTCATGCTGTACATGCTGTTGTTGTCGCTTTCATGCCTGGGAAGTGCCCAGAAATCTAGGATATCTATGGATATCTAGTGGCTTTCACCAGTGATTTTCCTAGTTGAATCCGAGAACACATCGGATTGTTTCAACCCGGGCTGAGATGCTTGGCGATGTTAACGGCACGTTTTGGGATGGGTCACAGGGCATGCTTTCCCCAAAAAGTCACACCTTCAAAAGTGCCAAGTGACGGAATCTGCAATGTTCTTTTTCACCAGCGTCAGGTAGTTGTCAATCAACTTCTTGATGATGTGCACCTGGCAGCAATCTCCCTGAGTCTGGATTCTGACGATGGGGTGCCATATTTTTGCTGATGATTTTTCCGCTTCTCTAGAGCTTTGATCTTCGTCGCTTCAAAATCAACAGTGCTGATTCAGTGATGTTGCGGCCTCAACTCGCTCCCGATCACTGGGTGCGGTGGCAGTGGGGTCGATGGCCGGGACGGGTGGCAACCTCGATGGGAAACCGAGAAACATCAAACAGATCCTATTGGAGTCCATTGAGATGATAATCATGGTAAATTCACCTGAAAACAATGATTGATGTATCTGAACTGAAACATTTACAATTTACACCAGACATTGGAATTTACTGTCCGAACACCCGATGAGTTTCAGCTATACCTAGGCACATCCACGGCAAAAACTATTGCAGGACTTGTGCCAAATCGCTTCGGCACAAGAAAATGAACTTCCAAAGCTCCTACTGCGGTACGTTCAAAAACCAGAAGATCACACTTATCCAATTTTCACCATTTTGGGTGCCTTCGACATGTTTCAAAATTAAGATTTGTTAGTTTTTTTTTTTGTGCCAAATCCAGAGATCTTTTTCCAAATCCTGTGCCCATCTTGGCCGTCGCACTTTGGACCACCACCGGGCGCCAATTTCACGTCCTAACGGCGGCAAGGATGACCTCCAGCCGCTAAAACGTCGCCGTGTATTTTTCGATACTCTCAGAGTTTTTACACATCATAAATCATACATAATGTAGTATAGTAGTATGGTATATAGTAATATGGTAGTATGGTCTATGATAATATGGTATATGGTATATGATAATTATGATAATTATGATAATATGGAATATGAGATAGTAATATAGGTAGTATATGTGGTGTAGGCTTCTTTTACACAGCACCCTTTGCTCCTGTCATTTCCTTGGGAGACCTGCCGTCGCTCCTGGTATCGCTCCTGGTATCCATCTCGACGAACTTGCCGCGACCTAAGCATCGATTCAGAGAACCAGGGTCCTACAGCTTCTACTTTGGGATCAATATGGATCAATAGATATTTATGATTAATGTGGATATTCATGGATAGTCGTGGACTCCTTGGGTCACTTCATTTCCCATTTCTCAAACTTTGAGAGAAATGCGAAGTTTGATCAGAGCAGGACTTTCACCACCGAATTTCACAGCCAAGGTGCTTGGGCATCGGACTTGAAGGTGGTGAAGGTGTGGTTGCCAACTGCAGGACAAACAACCACAAACAACCAACAATTTTGGTGATGTTCCCATGATTCTTTAGGTTCATTTTTCACGGAAAATCCAAACAACATCATGTTTTGCTCTTTTCATGCAACAAGAATACAACAGTATGCTTGTCTTGTTTTCCTGCAGAATTCCTTCCTTGCAGTCTGGAAATGATCGGAAATGTGAATCTTTTTTCTTGCAATTTCTAGTTCATTTCCTTCATGCTCAGAATTTTTGGCACAAAATCTAGGGATAGAAGCCCACAATGGCCGCAATCAGAAGATCCAAAAACCAAGCTTTCCAGATCTTTCCAGATCTTTCCAGAAACATTTCACCTTGGAATACCTTGCGAGCCCCAAAAACTGGCCGAAAGCATGTCGCCTCTGGGCCTGGCCGCTGTACACGACCTGGACATGCTGCTTTTGATCCCATCAATTCGTAATGGGGATGGCTCAAAACCTTGTAACCCTGGTGAACATCAAAATAGCTCGAAAATCGATGTTCATCCCCTAAAAATGGTATTTATAGGTATTGATCCATGGCCACATGTATATGTTATGTTATCTTATGTAATGCAATGTAATGTAATGTATGTAATGTATGTAATGTATGCAATGTAATGTAATGTAATGTTATCTTATGTAATGTAATGTAATGCAATGTAATGTATGTAATGTATGGTATGTATGGTATGTATGGTATGTATGGTATGGTATGGTGTGGTATGGTGTGGTATGGTGTGGTATGGTATGGTATGGTATGGTATGCATGCTTGCATGTATGTGTGAAATTGTGTAAATATCTTTCTATTTCCATATCAGGATCCCAGCCTGCAATTTGGGAAATCAACGTCGGACCAACGTGAACATCTGAGGAATTCCCAAAGTGATCCAAACTGCCTCCCATGGTCTGACGTCGGAAGAGGGCCGAGAGAATTCCAGTGCCTGTCGCTGAATGATGGGCAAAACCATGAAGAAACCCATGGAGAAATGCCTGACCAACAAAATATGGATCCTTGAAATACTTGAAGCATCTTGAAGCAACACACATTGAATCATTGGGGTCTTGTGACATCGGGTGAATTTTCTTCAACAATCACACACACACACATTCTTGATGCCTTTCATCAAGATGTCCAACCTCAATACGCAATCCTTCCTATCAAATGCAACCTCCAAGGAATGCCGGTCTTGTGAACGATTCGTTGAAACGATTGAAACCCTTGGAACTATCAACAATAATGAAATATAGTGAAACTATGGCGGCCCATGGAACTATCAACCCCCACATTTTCGGTGATTCGGCTTGGTCGAAACGGAGCCAGCCCCGCGAACCCGCCTAGGTTGGAGCCGGAAGCATTTGAGGTGACCTCACCTGGGCGTTTTGGGTCATAGGATCTATTTCACCTTATTTCACCTTATTTCACCTGTCCCAATGTTCCAAACTAGATCAAAAATGGGTAGTTAGTGACCTTCATGGGTACTTAGTGATTAAATAGTTGTGAAAAGAACATTGACATAAATGGGATTAAATGTGTAGTTTTTGTGACTACACTCCAAAAATGACATGCCCATGAATGGTGGGGCTGTCAAATGGATTTTCCGCACCTGTGACGGTGGAGGCACTGGCGGTGCTTTCTTCGCCTTGGGACTTGGTGAACATTCCCAGAGGCTGCCGTGCAAAAGTGGCGCTTTACCATCGTTCGTCCAATGTCAATTGAAATGTCCTGATGGATATCATCTTGGAAAGGAAAGGATCCCCAAATCGATAAAACATCCAGTGTTTCCCATAATTTCCCCAGATAAAACATCCAGTTTTCCCATAATTTCCCCAGGAATTTTCATGATGATTTTGGGGGGTTTTGGGCATTCCCTTCATCCAGATCCGCCTTGTTCGACTTCCTGGACCTTGGCCTTCTCCTGCGAAGCTATCTCTGCCATCGACCCTTTGATCTTTTTATAACCAAAGAACTACATGGTAAACCCAGAAAAAAATCGGGTTTACACATCGTTTTGTACATCATTTTGTACATCATTTTCCTCTGATTCCTCTATTTTTTTTGGGGTGCTGACACTCGAAGAAGCGCCCCATGCACAAGCCCCACCATCCCACCTCGGGATCTCTAGGTGCTGAACCTGACGGCAATTCTTCCAGCCATATTTTGGTGTGGACTTTGATATAAATGATTACGTATGATGAACTCTGATGAAGTTTGGATGAATTCTTTTTTCAGACCAAAGAGTGGAAAATCACTACCCATGCAATGGATTGGACATGGGGCATATGAAGAGGGTTGTTGCTGAATGCCCATCCCAGTAGTGGGGGACAGCATCAATCAGCATACGGGACTGATCATCAATGTCGGGAATCAGTGAAGCCATCTACTCAGAAACGCTTTTTGGACCATAATCCCAAGCTAGGATGAAAATCAAGCATGCGAAAATGAATTGATGTTTTGACAGTTTCCAAACATTTGGATGATCGTCATCGTTGAATGGTGCGGGCATTAAGACAGGTATACTGATACTGGCGTGGACTCGGACTTCGCTGTATCGCTATCGATACATTTTCTCCCCTGCCTCTTTTTGGGATGAACATGATCCCCTTTTATGTTTGATTCCTGTGATGTTCTATCATTTTTTAAATATAGAATATTCATATGACCCCATTTACATTGTCAGCAAATTAGATCCATTTTCCATTTATATCCATTTATATTGATGAATTTAATATGATTCCATTGACTTATATCCCATTTGTTTCCCATTGATTTACATTCCATCTCACATTGATCCATCTCACATTGATTTATATCCTATTAACATGATTCCATCATATCATATTATATATCCCATTAAAATATATTACCCTCTGGTAATTTAACATAGCTATTGAAAATGGCCATAGAAATAGTGGATTTTCCCATAAACCAATGTGATTTTCCATAGTTTTTTGTATGTTTACCAGAGGGTAAAATAATTCCATTGATGACTCCATTGCAATTTCTCATTCGACTTCACTCCTCGTAGAGCAGCAGCTTGGATGAAGTCTGGATGACTTGTGTTGATGTAGGCCATCCTTGTCAGGGGAGCCTCCCATGGGAAAACTGGTCGGTGAAGAACCGGATTCCCATCATTTTTGTTAAAAGGATGGTAATTCCAAGTTTTGGAGAAAAAACACCTCCATATTTCATTGGTGCTGTTTTAGGCAAATGTATGACCATCAAAATGAATGTACCATATATAAATATAGAAATTACAAAACCAACAATTGTACCTGGAAACACAAACCATCGCAATTGGTAAATGATTTCTTCCTTACATCCACCCTGTATAATCCCAATCAACAGCAATATTCGTCTTAAATTCAGTTCATCACATTTCTCTAAAACATATAAATGCAACTTGTTTGCCATTTGTACTGATTCAACATCTCATATATCTAACGAAATTTCAAAACCACATCACTTCATGGCTTCTCTTTGTGGCAAAAACAATCATATCCACCATCCCGCAATTCCACCAATAGGTGCTATGGTTCCCATTATCAGTCATGGTTGGTTTCTTATTGTTTAAATAGGTGGTATAAACCATTCCCAAATGCTTCGTTTATGACATTGTTTTACCATGTTTTACCACCACTATTGTCAACCCCGGATTGATAAACCATGGTTTATTAATTAGGGGGGGGTACTCCTCAGTCATTTCATCTAATTTTTTATGGTACCCAACAGCCACAAAAAAAGGGCTGGACATTAATCCAGGGTTGACATCATTAATTTTACCACCATTAAACCACATATTTTCACCATTAAACTCACCATTAAACCATCATAGGTGCTATGGTTCCCATTCCCAAATATATGTATATATATGTATAAATCATCATAGGTGCTATGGTTCCCATTCAAAAAAATATATAATATATATATATATTGTTTTTACCATGTTTGACCACCATTTTTGACCACATAAAAATGACCGCTCATCCCATCCAGTCCATCTCCGGTCCGAGGGTCTCAATTTGCACCAGGTCCCGGATCATGGCCATGGTGGGTTCCAGGCAGCGACGCAAGATGTCCCGAACCACCTAACTGGTGACCGGAAATGACCATTAAAGGATTGAAGGATTGACCATGACATTTGGATCATATTGGATCAACATTTGAATGATAATTCATGAAATATATGATTGGACTATTATATAATAATTGTTGGAAAAGGATCCTTAAAAAATCCAAAAATGTTGTTGGAAACATGGTTCAAAGGTGGTCTTGGCACTGTTTGAGGTGAAGCTAAAACCAACGAGACGTAGGACAGATCAACGTTTGTAATGCTTGAATTTTGTAGAAGCAAGTGGTGCATCAACGCAAAAACCTGCCATGCCGAATGAAGTATTATCGATTTCGGGCACAGCTGAGCGCCCTTGCGCAAAAAAAAAAACTAATGCAAGACCTGTGATTTAATAAACACATGTTCACTATCCCTTGTGCAACGAGGGGGGTACTTACGTTGGATGACGTTGGTATACTCACAAGAAAGATACGCCGATCGCTACAAACGCATTTCTCTTTCAAACGAACGTAGTGCGCCGGTCACGCAAAACGACATTGGAAATGTCGCAATGTCACCAAGTGCCATGACTGCCACACAAAAATGACATGTTGCAGCTGTCAATACATCCGCTAAATGACACGCTTTCAAAGTTTCCCCGCAAGCACGGCCATATCGCCTTCATCGCGAAAGAGGGGAACGATTCAACCATATCGAGCGAACACAGCTCCACCCCGAGAGCTCAAAGATAAACGACAACTCTTTGTACGCATCGGGAACAAATATTCTATTACCATTTGATCCCAATAATTCCGAGCAATTCCGAGCATATCTCAATGTATTTCAAACGTATTGCAGGTCCCAACAAAATTCTGAAGCCGCCCACCGCAAAGATCTGGTCGCGCAGCCGCACGAAGCGGCGAAACCTGGGAAACAAAATGTGGCTGATGGTGAGTCACCTATCATTTTATGGGTCACCTACCTGGGTGAATGTCCACTGGTTAAGCCATCCAAAATATGATCGGTTGGAAATTTGATATCAAAGTCAACAGGATTCACAAAATGGTTTTCCTGCGTTGCCAACTCTCACCATGCAATGTACACTTCGCCGTCCTTGCGATCAGCAAAACCAACCTAGCCATCTCCTAGCAGCACTGGAAATGGGGGGTAAGATGCAGCTGAAACTGAGAATGGTATCGCCACGGTGATGTCGGTCTTTCATTCCCATCTCTTGTGGCTGATTCTTGCCTGAATCGCACTTTTGCATGGCCAAGACCCGAATATTTACATGAACACATTTAACCTTTTTGTCGATTCAATCCATCTTGTTGGCAAATTTCCATGGTTAGATCACCAACTCAATCTGGTATAGGAAGGGAATGCTCCGATCTATGACCAAAACACTGGGAGAAAATGATCATCATCCTGGAATCAATCCTTCTGATTAGCCATAGATTTTAGGGGCACCGGACTCTCCTTTTCCTCGGTCACAGCTTTTGGCGCCCCCACTCAGGAAGCTCAGAGAGCAGCAGAACCCGTTGCAACCTGAAGATATTGACCGGTCAAAGTCATAGAAGGGAAGCAAAGAAGTCAGTGGTTTACTACCAACATGTATAGTATGTAGTATGTATATCATTGTATATCACTAATCTTACTGAAATTCAATACATATGAATAATTGAATATATATATATATCTAATTATATCCATGTGTGTAACCCAATCATATCCCATTACATGGCCATATGATGGGATGCTATATGTGTGAACCAGCTTTGATTTCGGGACTCGATTCAGCCTACACTGAGACCTCCACTCGTCAAAGACCAGCTCTGCGCATTGCAAGGAGGGTGCCTTCCGATCATCCCTTTGGAAAATCACCAAATCAGCTGGTGCTTTTGGATCTTCAGTCACTTTTTGTATAGGTTTTGCTGCATCCCCATGATATCCAGTTCTAATGGCCTTTTTTTCCCTAACATGGTGGATATTCCCATGAAAAAAAACCAATTGATGATATATTTCCATCAAATATCATCAAATGGAAATTGATGATATGGATGAAAAGTCCTAGAGGGTGAATCCACTACAAGAGGATATGTATATATATATATATCAAATATCATCCTAAATGGAAATATGGATGAAATGATGAAATGTTTTTTCCCATATCATAGGCCATCATTAATATCATCAATTGATTTTACAGATTATATCATTGATATCTCCCCTGTGAAATATGAGTATTAATCCCCACTCATATCATATCATATATCATATATCTGGGTAAATTATAATATTTCACTAACCTGAATCTTGCGGCCATTTGGGGATGATTTCCCTTACTAACCATGATTCCCAGGGTTCGGTCGCAGTGAGGTCGTGATGTAATTTACCCACTCATATCATAGATCATATATCACACACATATCATCTATATCATCTATATCATCTATATCATCTATATCATCTATATCATTTATATATATCATATATATATATCACATATCACATATCATATATATCATACAAACTGATATCTCCCTTGATGCCATGAGAAGCCCTCCATTTTTTCGGCCATTTTCTCGGCCAGGCGCCTGGAGCTTGGCGACCTGCCGCCGCACCAGCAGCTCGAAGGCGGCCTGGAAAAACCATGGGAATCTCGGGAGAAAATCATGGGAACATATCCAAAAATGATGGGAAAATGATGGGAACATGGGAAAATGATGGGAAAATCTCATGGGAAGATCTGAACTTCTGGGAATCTCGGAAGAGAAAAAGAGTTGATTTCTTTGAACGTCAAAGTTCACGTTGAAAACGAGTACTGAGTTTTCAGGCTGCAGAAAAATAGGGTGCTTGTTGGTTTATCAGTTTATCATTGTCCCCATCGAAATTGCTGTGGTACACCCATCCATTTTTGGGGCAAACCCGTACGTGCCATGGTTAAAGCATGGTATATGTGATATGGAAATCTCATCATTGGGGATTCCTGATCATGGTTTTACAAATCCCTATCACTGGATTGATGATCATCATCCTCAATACGGAAAAACAACCCATGCTTTGATGAAACCGGAGGATTGTCATTTGGCTGGTTATATATCAATACTTCCCCGTTACATCCCATTGTATTCCGATAAAATGGTTGCATCCCCATTGATATCCCCAAATGGATTATATCTCCATATATCCCAAGTATAGTTAGTCTGGCTTAGTTGCACATGCCATCAAATATCTCCAATTAATCCCTTCCCCCTAATATTAAACACCCGCCCAGAAACCACGGTGTTTTAAATATTAGGGGGAAGGGATCAAGACCTGTGTTGGCTTGTTGAAGGGGATAAGCAATTTAGATTATTTTTTATGCCTCCATTTATACATCTAATTTGCTGATGAAAGCAACAAAATTAGGATGGGATTACGCTCCGGTAATCAACCATGGCTTGCTGGAAACTACCCCATTGAGTTCGATGATTTTCCGACAAAAAGACCTCCATTTAGTGTGGGATTTTCCCCTACCATGTTTTATGACACCGGAGGGTATGAACCAACATTCCCTTTATATTTAATATGCCAAGATTGTATCCCAAGAAAGTTCCAGTAAATCCCTCCAATATCCGATGAACATCCCATGAGAGTTCGATGAATTTCCATCGATCAATCCCATTCAACATCCATGAATATCTCATTCAAGACCCAGTTTCACTACAATTATATTCCCATAACATAGTTACAACTTGTTACAACTCATCTCATAAGGTCTTTTAGGATTATATAACCATCTTACAACTCATCTTTATATCTGATATTCCCATATATTCCCATTAATGTGGGTAAAATAATGGTATAAACCATCCCCCAGTCAGCATTTTTATAGGTGCTATGGTGGTACCATTCCCAGTCATGGCTGGTTTATGACATGGTTTTAAGCACATTAATTGTCATTAGTCATCCATTAATCACCATTATTAACCCATTAACCATGGATACTCACATTACTAACATGTTTTAACAAGTTAATAATCATAATCATAGGGGAATCCCGTTAATCATTAATCATCCATTAATCATCCATTAATCACCATTATTAACATTACTAACCCATTAATCATAGGGGAATCCCATTCTCACCACCGTCGGCCCAATGTTCCAACCACCTCCGGGATGAAGAGCTTGGCCCGCGGCCCGGTGGCGTTGCGAATGGCCGTTCGAATGTCGTCCTGGAGTGGGTCGTTTTTTTTTTGGTCTTCCCGTAGATACTGGGGAACATCTATGAGAATATATGAGAATATATGATAATATATGAGAATATATGATGATATATGACATGAGAATGTATGAGAATTGGATCTGAGATTTGAAATCTACCAATCAAAGGGATCTCTTTTCCAAGATGCTCAACTGAGGAGGCCACATCTGATAGGCCGGCAAAACTGTCGTAGGCACGGATGGTCCTTAGGAGCCCCAGTTATTGCTGGTCCAGCAATTTGAAAAAGGGTCAATCCCATACACATATGATCCCTAAAAATATCCCTACTAGAATATCTATCTATCTATGACACACATATATATATATAACATATATATATATAACTATATATATATACACTGTATATCCATGATATCCCCATACCACCATTTTTGCTTAACTCCATGACATCTCGGCCCAAGTTGCTTCGCAAAGACGTCCCGAAAGAGGAAGTCGATCCGCGCGCGGCCCAGCAACTGACCGGTGCCCTGGTCGGTTTTGAGGGAACAATGGGGAGGCTATTTGGCCATGGGGAATCCATGAACAAAATGAAGTTCTACATGGGAAAATCATCTATAAATGGGGATTGAACATGATTTAACCATAGCAAATCCCATACCATGTTGATACCATGTTGCTATGATACCATATTGATAGCTATTCACCAGTAAATCCATATTGATGATTTGATACATTTTGATACCATGTATTACTAGACGAATGGGGATTTACCCTCTGGCAATCAAACATAGCAATGAGAAATCCATGAACTAAATGAAGTTCTACATGGGGATTTACCATGATTTAACCGGTAAAACCAACAGATTCTCCAGCAAGAAATGGGGATCAAAAGAAGTGACAAACATGTGGATTGTACAAGGAAAACATAGTGCTTTTGTTTTTTTCAAGGACAATGGCACTTTTAGCAACAGAAACTGACTCTTCTTAGATTCTGAGTAAACCCAGTGGGGATGGTTTCAATTTCATCCGTTCCTTAGCCCTTGTGGATGATCTTGTTTCTAGATCTGCCACATCACCAAAAATACATCCCCAACTTTTACTTGGCTTCGGCTTTGTCTCATTTTTTCTCCTTATCAATGAGATCATTGAGATCATTGGGTTACCATACGCGTCAAAATATGCAAATATGCTATTCCTTTGGATGAACACCCTTTATCAAATCAACACCTTTGGATGGTGAATTTCACCTGGTATCCCACCATTTTGATGTTGAGATTTTCATTTGTCAAAACTCGTTGAAGCAGCTTTTTGATTGGTTCTACCACCCCATTTCCAATCAAATTCATCATCCCTAATATTCTACTTTACAGCGCTTTTTCTATCAAACACACTTCAACTAAATATCACAAAAATATCCTATGATTGTAAAATAGTAGACCATTGATTTTCAGCAATTTTTTCCTTTTTATCATCCCCCATTTGTTTTTGGATCCAACAACACACCAGTCGCGTCGCATCGCGGTGCCGTGGCGTCCTCCAGCGGCGCCGCGGAGCGGCCCTCCACGGTGTCGTCGAAACGGCCCGCGAACTTGGCGAACAAACTGAGCCTGGGCCCACATCAAGAATTTTTTCAGTGGCATTTAACATGGTAATATATGGTATTTGTTATAGTTATACTATAAATCATGGCTACCAAAGTAATATCAATAGAAACACTAAGAAAACACGAAGAATAAGCAATGGTATATAAGTGTATATCCATATAATTGGAATTTACACTGGGTATCTAACAATAATGATATACCCATCTAATGGGATATATTACCATAGAATGATAATGAGGATAGGAATGGTATACCAACAATCATTGGACTGTAATGGGCTGTATACCAAGAATAATTGGATATTAAACACCATTCATGGGGTATGTCAATTGGAGAAAACAACCATGATGTGGGGACTTTTCATGAGATATTTAACCGGGATATAAATAAAGATGTGCCTGGCATATCATTCGAATGACAAGATCGGATAAAACCAAGAAACGGAAAGTTGAACATAAATGAACATCAATGAACCAATCAAGCTGAAGTAAAAAAACCAGATATAAACAAACAAGAACAACTGGAATATTTGAAGGTTATCATGGGACATAAACCTGCAAGCGTAAAATATAACACCTCTGCTCCGTAAAGAACAAGAAAACATGGTCGGCAGTTGAACTGCCCGAACCCTCAAAAGATCTTCGTCATTTGAAGGCCCTCTCTCGCCAGATATTGCCTGTGGTTCATAGAGGTGAGACGAGGCACGGGAGTTTCACTAATGACAAAGCAACGCCAAGCAACCAATCTGGGCACAAATAAAAGCAAACCAGTTGCATGCTGCTTTCAATGACTTCCATCAGTACATATAGTACATGGCGAGTCCCATTTCTCTGTTGGTTTTGTCTCTCCACTTTCTGGAGGGATTGGTTGCGTCCCCCAAGAGGTTGAGTTGATTTCCCTATCAATTCTGCTAATGGTTTCCAAATTCTTAATGGCATAATGGCGTCTGTTTTATTCATCCACTTTTTGGGGAGTTGTCTCCAACATTGCCACTAAATCATGATGAATGGGGTACCAGTTTCGTTCCCGAGGACCAAGCAGGAGCGCACCTTTCTCGCCCGCTGTTTGCCTTGGAAAACACAACAGGATCTCAGCTAGTGTTGGAACTTCTGCAGCAAAACAGCATTTTTTTTGACTCAGCAATGGGGAAACAATGAATCACTGGGACGATTCTGCACTAAAAAAAGTAGAGAAATATCTGATTTCTGTAGCCTTCTCCAAACGCCAACATGGCAAGCTCAACATTCCCATGGCCTGTGCAGTGCTTCGCCATAGCCTTGCAACTCAGACCTTGGATGATAGGATCGCTACCCGGCCACTGGCTTAGAAGCCATAAAAGATTATGATCATGGTATTAAATACTATTCATAATTAAGCATCATTTGTAACCTAATCTAAATTCAGCAATGATATATATATATATATAAGATTATGTAATTAGGATCATCATTCAATGGGATTCGGCGATGAGTTTTTAAAGATCCAATGATTCACCATATTCGATTGGTCTGAACACTGGTATCCCCTTAGTATGTCCCCATTATTTTTGGTTTTATACCATCAATCATATAGCATCAGATTGTCAATTAGATCCCATCAATATTCCATTCCATTGCATGATATGCCCATGGCATTGTTGATTTTATATCAGCACAGTCACCATCAAACTTGTAAATTCATGGGTGTTGTATCCCTGCTCAGGTCAGAACTCCACTTCGTGGCACATGCGCTGCGCCTTCAAAGGGTGAAAAAAAAGTTGCAGAACGTACAGTAGGTATCCATATGTATCCTAAAGTAGTCGGTTAATGGATGTGTATTTCCCCAAATATGGTGATAATAGGTTTTGAATGGTTTTGACCCATCCCCAGTTCAATGTCTTCCGACAAAGTATTCAACGAACGTCTCAATAAATCTGACTTGCGTAAAGAGAAGTCAACCAACGAAGGACATTTCCAATGTATACGGCGCCTGAGTTAGCCGCAATTTTCCGTTGAGTCGTTCCAGTTTAGGGCTCACGATCCCTACCTGCGTTCGGATTCCTGGGAGAACTTCGCAGATCTTTTCCAGGAGGATCCTGCACCGGTGGGGACTAGGTATAGCAACATGGGAATTTAGCAAACAAAAGGACTTCACCAGCGAATTCAACTTTCCGATAGGGATGGAATGGGATGGATATACGCAGCCAAGATATGCCAATATGGGGATGCAAACAAGATGGTGCTACAACATTTTTGGAAAAGTACCACAACACAAAATCAACAGTTACCCTTCAGTCATCAAACACAGCAAGTGGAAATCTTCGGTACATGCAGTTGATGGGAAAATCATCGAAGTAAATGGGCTATTTTCCCATGACCAGAGGGTACCATGCTGCTTAGCTTCCCCAAATCTGACCCCAGGTGCTTGGTGAAATCCCCAGGATTTCCCTATAGAGTTCCCCCTGAAACCAAGGCAATGAACCATGGTACACCCGATGCACCTATTGAGCTGCTTGGCTAAATGCCGCACCGTGCAGTGGTGGGCCACTGCCTGGCATGAGAGCCCAAGAAGCCCAGCTATTGAATGGACATTTGGAGACTGTGGGTAAAATGGTGACTGGGGGATGGTTTACTATCGTTTTATCCACATTATATCAGGCTTACATGGAGACTTCCAACAAACGACTAGGGATACCATCATCATGAACGATCAGTGAGTTGTCGTCATATGATGGGAACATTTTCTGATGGTTCCTGTCCTGGGGGGTCCTCGGCGTTCCCAAAACTTTCAAAACATGGCACAGTCTTGTTGGATAGACATTGGATAGATGTGTTTTCATCATTTTCATCTCCATGATAATCCTCATAGTACTTCTGCCTTTCTCTTCAGTAAACATTTACTTAAATCTGTACATAAAACATTTCAATGGACCCGTACATGTGATGTTTTCAAATGTAGTCCAGGTCCAGGAAATGCTTCCCATGAATCATCTTGCGGCCTGGGGCCGGCTTGCCTTGTACACAGGATGCTGACTGAAGAATTGCTCCTCCACCTCTTGGTCGAAGCATTCCTGCAGCATCTGGAGCTTCGCCTGATACCTCTCCTGCTTGGTGGATCTTTTGGGTGCCTCAATTTCTTTGAATATGTATCACTGGTATCACCAAGCATCATATAGTCTTTGAATGTCATTCTTCAAATAGGAACACATCTTTTTTCAATCCTCCAACTTGGTAATGGGTTTTCCCATGGGTTTTCCCATCGCCTTTTGGGATAGCTGACCCTCCGGTCCTTGCACATGACAGCCACGAAACCCAAGGCAAGCCTTGGAAAGTGACCCATTGATGTAGCCATGTAGCTATGTTGAAGAGGGAACCAACCAAACTTGGGATGTTTGAAATCCATTTCGCCCAAACACTAAAGTGACATAATTCTATTCAGCAATATATCATCGCTGTTGGGTTGCAAAGCTGGGCTAATGGGAAGCCTTACGCAGAAAAGGAAGGTATCAAACAAATTGGGGGTAGAACCCCCAACAGGATACCAGGCAAAACAATGGTACCCTTCGGTGCTAAACTAGGCTTTAATCCATCCCCATATCGCGCAAATATTGATTACTCATCGCATCATATATATCTATATAATATATATATATATCTATAATATATATATATCTATCTATCTATCTATAATATATATATGCAGTCTATACACTGATATGCCAATATACATATATATATATACACACACATATATATATATATCATTAATATCTATATAAATCTACATCATATATCCTCCCAGTATACATCCCCCATTTGAAGAACCCATCATTTTACGCCGTTGCCGTTGAGGCACGGATAGATCTTGCCCTCCAAGACCTGTGCTGCTTCGCTGGCAGCACTGGCAAGGTCCTCGGGATGGCGTCCTGGATTTGTGGGTGAGATTAGTTAATAAATACTGTTAATAATGGAATATATAATATATAATGCTGTTATAATAGTTAATGGATTAGTTAATATAAAACCATTATAATAACATAAGGGGTGAACACCCATCATTATTGGAATATTCAACCATTATAATACCCATACATGGTCAATATAAAACCATTATTGGAATATTTTTCCTGTTAATAATGGTTAATATGTGGTTATTGCTTAATGATGGTTAATGAAAAATATGGTCGATCGGATCCCAACTATTGGGGAAAATCCGAAGAAAGTTCCAAACCACCAACCAGGTAATCTATCATTTGTAATGACAATGGGTATGTTAAATGATCATTAGGAATCTATAAATAGTAATCCATCATTAGTAATGTTAATGAACTACTAATTTCATTGGCAACTTTTTAATGATAATGAAATGGGTAATCATTATGGCTATGTTTTTATTGTCAAATACTAATACTATAATACTAAATGGGAGGATTTCACCAGAATCTAATACCAAATGGCCGAATAGTACCCATAGCAATAACCAATAATGGCCATTGTGGCTAGATAAGCCAGTAATAAGCCATAATAGTACCCATCATAGTGAAGAAGCATCCTGAATATATTGGTATGTTAGTATAAATAAAAACCATTATAATGACTATACTAACCATTATCATTTCCATTTAGTTTATACTAAACATTATAATGATGGATTATAATGATGGATTATAATGATTTGTAATCCATCATTAGTAATTATAGGTAATTTTAATGACAGTTATAATTGCAATGATTATAACATATTGAAAATACTAATACAATGTCTTTCATCTACAATAATCAATAAGTTGTCATTAATGTACAATCAGTGACTAGTTATCCATGTACTAGTACAATGATTCGTATCAATTTACAATAATTAGTTGTAGTTGCAATACTGATTACTTCTTAATGTACTCCGAAATACTGAACCAGTCAAACGAGTTTTTTGTTGGGCCTTGTGAGGCTTTGCAATTCATTGACTTACTCTTTTCAGAGAACCTTGAGAACTTTCGAAGTACCCTCTGGTTATTTAACATAGCCATGGTTTTTCGATGGCCCTAATCGAAATAGATGATTTTCCCAGCTATAAGCCTCCATTTATTTTGGGGATTTCCCAGTTCGCTATGTTAGTCATAACCAGATGGTAATAGTTAATTTATCAGGGATTTTCCAGTTTGCATTGTATAATCACTATTAGTCACTATTATAATCACTATTATAATCACTATTATAATCACTATTATAATCACTATTATAATCACTATTATAATCACTATTATAATCACTATTATAATCACTATTACAATCACTATTATAATCACTATTATAATCACTATTATAATCACTATTATAATCACTATTATAATCACTATTATAATCACTATTATAATCACTATTATAATCACTATTATAATCACTATTATAATCACTATTATAATCTATTCTAATCACTATTACAATCACTATTATAATCACTATTATAATCACTATTATAATCACTATTATAATCACTATTATAATCACTATTATAATCACTATTATAATCACTATTATAATCACTATTATAATCACTATTATAATCACTATTAATCACTATTATAATCACTATTATAATCACTATTATAATCACTATTATAATCACTATTATAATCACTATTATAATCACTATTATAATCACTATTATAATCACTATTATAATCACTATTAATTTGCAAATTTCTCTGACGTGTCGGAGCGTCGGACCTCTGGTTGGGGATCCCCACAGTCTTGGTGAGAACTCCCAAGGTGCGTTCGCCCTTGGGGTCCACCTGGCTGGAAAATCGCCAGGGGCTGGAAATGTATGGGAAATGTATGGGAATCTATGGGAAATATATTTTGGGGGATTTCTAGAAAAGATGTCTGTGATTTTTTCCTATCATCCCTTATCTTCATCTATCTTCCACAGCTTTTCCATTGAAAAGAATCCTGGATCGCCAGCCACATGGAAGTTTTGGGAGACCATGCGCAAAACGCATGCCTCTCTGGCCAGGGCCAAGGAGTCGGCAGTGGCCAGATCGGCATTGGCTGCGGCCACAGCCAAGATGAGGCAGTTCCTCTTCGGGCCGAGACAGAAATGGGGATTTCACCAGGAAAAACGTCTTTTTTTTTTTTGTTTTCCGGATGATATACTAATGGGGGATCTTTCACGTGATGCATAACGAACAATTTGGGGATTATAATGGGGTGTTACTGATATATAACCTGTTCCAAATGGGGATTGAATGAAATGCGAATTGTGAGATCATAGTCATTCCATCAGCATTTTAGTCGGATTTTACGAAACTCTATCATTTTGGGGGTTATCATCGGATTCTTTGATGGGATCATAAGTTTGTTTTTTTCCGCATCAAAACTAAGGACTGAATGGGAAATCATGGGATGTTCTCCAACCACAATTGGGATATATTGGGGAACCTATTGGGAGAATATTTGGTATCTGTAACAATCCAGTGTCCGAAAAAAGGTCCGTTGCCGTTGCCGTGGATATTTTTGTTGATCTTTTGATCTTTCAGGGTTTCACTGTTTCAAATCTTTGGACCAACATTTTTGATATGTGATCGAACCACTAAGTTTTTTTGGATATGAAAAAGGGATGAGGTAGAATGGGTCTACATATCAATGTTTGAATGTTTGAAGAAACCATCAAAAAAAAATGGAACTATGACGATTAACAATCCTAAGAACATGGAGTACTGGACCTATTAGTCTTTTGGGGTCCCTATATGAAGGTCATTCCTTTGGTGTTTGTTGTGTTTGTTGTGTTTGTTGGAGACCTCAAAAAATTGGAATCATATTCGACATAACCTATGGACTTACGACCCATTTGATGAAAGAGTTCATTTGTTGAGTTGATGAATGTTGACCATTTATTGAAGCACTGGGGCTCGATGGGGCTCCGGCTCGCCAGTGCTTTCTGAAGCTTTGCACATCGGGTTGTTACTTAAAACCCCATCATCGTTTGGGTGGCCTTCCCACCGATATGGATACTTTCGGACCTTGGATTTGACAATCATCATTGGGAGGATGAAATTCCTTGGTTTTAGGGATGCTCTACTGTAATCATCATGATTCATGGTATACGGTATGCTGTGAAAAACAAACGATCTTCATTTCTAATATGGGTCATTTTTGCCTGGCTTTCGTTAAATCATATCCAAACTAGTGCGTGAAACATCAGACGCACGAGCCAATTGCGGATGCCTGGGCCCAGTCAATGTGATGCAATTTCTGTTACCGTGGTACAGAGATGTACAGAGCCATAGTTCCTCTTGGAAATTGCTCAAAATCATCTTCAGCATGGAAAAAGTCGCACACACTTTCAGTGTTTCCAAAGAAAAACATGACCTGATTGTGAAAAGAAATGTAGATTCTCATAACATCAGTAGCTTGATCACCGAATGCATCCAACAATTACCGTATGAAACCCAACAGGACGCAGCCGCTTGGACACCCTGACGGCTTGGCGATGTGGTCAAAGATCAGTTGACCTCAGGGCTTCTCATCGCATCGGGTCTGCTGAACTTAACTCAGGTTTTGAATCACCAAAATCAGCTGTTTTTATTTTTGATTTTTGGGATTGATTCTTAACAATCACCAAAATCAATCAAAAAAAGATGCTTTTAAAATGTTGATCATGTTTTGGGCAATCCACCAAAATTTGGGTCATCTCATGTAGAAAACAAGTCCAAAATCCTCGTGGCCAAGACGCGGATCTGCTGCTCAATGTCCTGCTGCAAAGACCGTGTTGGAACATGTTACATGCACACTGGTTGGTGGTGCAATAACCATCTTGAAAAATATGAGTTCGTCAATGGGCTTGGGATTATCCCATTGACCTTATGGAAAATAAAAACATCCTTTGAAACCACCAACCAGCACACTTTGGCTGACATCACCGCACTTGATGTTTTGATCTCGGCCAGTAAGGTCCAGTTTCTATGACCATCCACCATGATGCCAGGGCCCCATGACTTTTTTGAGATTCATTTTATCAAATTTCCGATTGGTTTAAGGGAACATCTACAGGATTGCGCCATGGTTTTTTACTATCAAATATGAGGGTATCCAGTCAATTTTCCCTACGAAATTCCTGTACATTGGGCTAAGGGTATATAATAACCATTATTCAACCATTAACAATTACATATTAACCATACATTAACCACTATTGACCACTATTAACCACTATTAACAACTATTAACCATACATTAACCACTATTAATCGCTATGAATGAATCACTATTCACCACTATATCAACTATTAACCATAGATGAAGCATACATGAAGCCATGATTTTTCATCTCGTCCCTGGGCACGTCCTCTGGCTGATCGCCCAGCGGCACTCGTGCGATGCCCGGCAGGTCCACCAAAGTTAAGGTGATCAACTTGGGCGACGTCACCTGATCATTGGATAAATTGGATTGGTTTAAGGGAAAATCTTAACCGGAAACCATGGTTTTTACCACTAAATATGGGGCTTTCCTGTAAATTTTTCCCCTTAAACCAATCCAATGACCTGAGGGATTTTCGAGGATTTTCATGGGAGATGGGGAAATCCAAATGGAATAAACATGGGGAAATCCATCAACGAAGCAGGAAAAATGGAGGTTTCTAGCTGGGAAAATCATCGAACCAGGAAATTTATGGGATTTTCATGTGGATTTAATTGGATTTACTGGAATTTATGGGGTTGTAGGATTGGACTATGAAAAAAATATGAATGGTATACGGTATATGGGTTCATAGCCTTTGGCCTTTGGGCAATCAAACATGGCTAGTTATGGCTAGTTGGGAAATCCCTAAATTCAATGGGCCGTTTTAAAGGGAAAATCATTGAACACCATGGGGGATTTTCCCATGGCACAACTAATTGAGCATTGACCGAAACCCTTGTTGATTGACGATTATAGGCATAGTGCCCAATTAATTGGCATTTATTATTGCCAAATTTTGGGGGTCCCTATATCAAACAATCAACATAAAGAGATGACAAAAATATTGAACGGAGTTATTGGCTACAAACCGCCAAAAGATAGAATTTGAAAGAGTGGGATTCAAATTGACTGGCAAAAGCCGTCGGCCCTGGATAATGGAAAGGGGGAACGCATACAGAGAGTGGGAATATGCCCGCCAATGCGCAAGAAAACACGAACGAAACAAAAAGCGGAAAGTAAACAAAAACAAAGAACAAAAACAGAAACAAAAACAAAAAAGGAAACAAAAACAATAACAAAAACAAGAGCAACAGCAACAGCAACAAGAACAACAAGAACAACAACAAGAGCGACAACAAGAACGCCACCGCCACCACCACCACTCACCAGCCCTTGTGCTGCACGCACTTTTATTTTGGGGAGGTGCTGGGAACGTTGAAGCATGAACCGGTTTTTGTTTGCAGGACTGCTAGTGTCCTTCCACAACCTGCACTGGACAGTTATTCGATGATGTCGACTTGCAAGCACCCAGCAGATAATGTTCAAGGGAGCCTGCAGAAATACTATATATATATACAACTTATACAACTTATACAACATACAACTATGAGCTTTTTTGAATTATTAACAACATTGATTTACACCGAAGATTGCCATTTTGGCATGTTTCAGGTTGAACATCGTGTGCAAAGCCTGGCAATTTAACCTTTCGGGGGGGGGGAGTAAAATTGGATTCAAATGTTGGATGTTGGATGATGTTGGATGGTATGATGGGTTGACAACATGAGTTATGTCACGTGATGGATTGATTGGTTAAGCTCAAGACTTGGACCATCAACTATCATCAACAGTTTTGTTACAGCCACAGTCTAGCTTAACTTAAGTCACTTAAGTGGCTGGAATTTGATGGTAGCAATAGTATCAACATGTATCAACTCTCAATTCGGAAGCTCTAGGGTTTATAGGGGCCAATGGAATCCTCACTGCTCCTGATGGCCCAAAACCTTTGGAAGTTTTTCCCATCCGCACGATGACTTCTCGCAACATAAATCTCCAAGGAACTCGTAGGACCTCGGGATGGCTGTGGATGTTCTCAGTGTCTCAGGCTGTTGCGTCCTTCCCAATACTATTCGCCTCAACTAGCGACAACTAAGAATATTGATACAACATTGTTTTCTAGTGGCATTGATTGCATTCTATCTTCTTCAAGATGTAAAATGTCTAACAATTTGAGCTCTGCTTGTAACTCATTGAGCACATTATTGATATTTTCTCTTCTCAACGTTGATGATCACATGGATTGGGAGTGATTTTTGTTGATTTTTGTCTTCCGGTAACTTATCTGAGGCGAATACAAAAACATGTTATTAAATTTCTTCAATTATGATAGGAGATTTAGGTTCTAAAAAGCATTAATCCAGCACGTATATTCATCTTTTGGTTAACTAAAAAGAAATCCTGACCTGCTTTTTGGACAATGCATGGGGAAAGAACCCACTATTGTGTATGTTTACATAAGTCACCTTGATCAAATCTTACATCTGTCACCTACCAAATGAAATCAAGAATGAGAAAACCTGGGTTTGTCTGAACATCATTTGGTACTCCTAAATCCATTGGTTAATCATCAGTTTTTCCATAGCCATTTGGATCCATTTGGGAGGTATTTTCTATAGGTGTTTTTTGCCGTTTTTTGCCCTATAGCCCACTTCCAAAGCCAACATTTTCAGGTACCAAAACACACATCATGGATAACCTGCAGCCGATACGCGATCGGTGTGGAGGAGACGGCTTTCTGCCGACCACACAAGCGCTCCTGTGGAAAATGCCATGAGATGAGGCATGTGAGGCATGGAAAAATCTACGTCCCAAAAATGGACATCACGCACATCATCCCTGCAAAATCCACCTTTTGGAACGACCTCACCCATTCAGCTGCGCGCTGCTCAGTGCCTGCGGCTGGAGATTTTTCTGGCCCTATTGAAATCAAACATCAATCCATTGTAATTGGGTTAATATACTGATGGAACATTCCTTAAACATAAACCACATGAACTCCATCTTTGGTGATTACATTTTGCTGTAAAAATGGGCAGAAAAGCCAGCTCCTCAGAGGACGGAGTCCTCCACAGGCTCTGGGCTGATCAATTTTTGGGCCCCGCTCATTGATCAGCCAAGGCTTATGAATCTGGGATTCAAGGCATCCCAAACTTGGATGGTTCGAGATGGCAGTCAAACACCTGCATCTTTCTGGATCTGCGATGTTTCTGGCAATTCATTGTTGAGATGGGATTGAAAAAATCACCCCATTTCTAACTCCAAACTAACCCCTTAAACTAACCTTCACCAGTCGCTTCAGCCAGTTTTGAGGATAAACTTCCCTTGCTGGCAAAAGTACGTTTTCGATCGAATCGCTCTCCAGGTTCCATTTTGGTTCCCTAAGTCCCCCTATATTCATATTACCCACGCCAATAGGTTCGGTTGAATCAACATTTTAGAGTAACCATTGTAACCATTGAATCAAATATTGTACAACCATGGTACAAATTATTGTACAATACATATTCAATCAATATCAATTACCATTCAATACATATTGTACAAGTCTCCCACCCTGTGGTAATCAAACGCTGCAATGGAACACCCACCAGCAGTTCGATTCTTTTCCCAGCTAGCCACGTTTGATGAAAATGGTAGGTTATATATATACACATCCCATCAATATTCCCATTCATTGACCATTTTTAATGGTGAAACCTGAGGGTAATGGTTGAATGACTCCTGAATCCTACCCTTCCCCTGTCGTTTTCCTGCCAGCAATCGCAGCGCATGCCGAGGCCTAAAGATAGGACGGTCGGGAGGTGGACCCCATCAACACAGGAGGATTGAACGGGAAATTAAAGGGATTGAATGTTTATAAAAACAAACATGAGGGAAACCTATTTTTTCGGAAATCCTTAAATGGGCACATGTTTTTTTTTTTTTCGAATTTGGGTTGTTATCATGTTTGGAAATCAAAAACCACATCCATCGGGACGGGATGATCAGCTATGTCATCCATACGGGGATGGTCAAAATGAATCCATTTAGATACCTGGAACATTTCGGACATTTGGAGTAGAATAGTCAAATAGATCCATGAGTAGCGTGAAATAGAATAGATTCAGAATAGAGTGAATAGTGTAAAGGAGTAAAGTAGAGTAGGCTATAGTAAATAAAGCAGAGTAGTATGTAGTACTGTAAAGTAGGGTCGAAGAAAGTACGGGACAGTAGAGTATGGTAGAGTGAAGTGGAGAAGAACGGAGTGGAGAGGAATGAAGTAGACTCCAGTAGAACAAAACCAGCTCAGAAGTCTTAATGCTGTGAGCCGGTGATGAAGTAGAGAAGCAACTCAGAAGTCTTAAGACCACGGGGTGGGGTAGAGTGGAGTAAAGTATATGAAGTAAAGTAGAGTAGAGTACAGTAGCGTAGCGAAGCGTAGATTAGAATAGATAAGGTGGAAAGGAGTGCAGTAAAGTCGGGTCAAGTAGATAGAAATGACAATGTATGATCTCAGACTGAAGAACCTTCGCATGCCGATTGAAAATGATGGTTGGAGGCGGAGAACATGACTATGCCAACGTGTGCACTCCTTTGCTGGTCGTTTCTTTTGACCCACTTTGACCCACGAAAACAAATTGCCCACATTTGGGACTGGTATACCCTCTGGTAAACTAACATAGCTATTGAAAATTGCCATAGAAATAGTGGATTTTCCCATTGAAAAATGGTGATTTTCCATAGTTATGGGACAGTTTACCAGAGGGTATCGGATGGCCCAGTGGTGATTCACCTTTCAGAGATCTCAATGGGAAGTTCCTAACCCCAGACTTCTGATTTGCCTTGGACCGATCCCCTTGATGTCGTTGATATCCGCATCTTTATTGGCCTAAGCCCACATTTCTTGGTGATCTCTCCATATCGCGTTTTATACTCCCTTTTGCATTGCGTCATCATTGAACCATCAACCACATATATATATATATTGACTAGATGTTGACTATATATTGACTATATATGGGTGTATGGCATGGCTACCCCTTGGCAGCATGGCCATGTTTAAAACTCCGCGATGAGTTCCCAGACTCAGCCGAGAGCTCACAGGCCGCCACTGCTGCAGCACAGGTCACCTGGCGGCGCTTGCGGGGCTTGCGCGTGATGATCACAACTCTTGGGGGCATCAAAAATTGCGGATGATGGAATTATTGTTAGATCACCATCACCATCATCATAATAATAATCATAATAATAATCATTGTCATCGTCATCGTCATCATCATCATCATTATCATCATTGGTTAACCATTGTTTTTGATGGACATATTATGACAATGGTTAGCAATGATGATAAAACAATTTTTATTAGTTAACCATGATTAAATTATTGTTGATAAATCATGAGAATTGATGATCGGTTCCTATTGACAAGGGATGACAGTTATCTGAACCTTGATGATGGTTAACCATTCTTAGATTCTTAACTATTGATCGTTAACGGGGGATGATCGTTTCATATAAACTAACTATGATGATGGTTATCATGTCAATAATGTTAATTGGGGATGATGGTTAATAATTATTGTAATAGTTTCATGATAACCTTTGAGGGATACCCCCAATTTTATGATGCTTGTCATGCTATCAATGTTAACTAGGCATGATGGTGATGATGATGATGACGATGACGATGACGACGATGGTGATGATGATGATGATGATGATGATGATGATGATGACCTTGGTTATCCTATGACACTAACTTATCATTTATCATTATATAATGTAATCATATTATGTCATTACCTTAGTATCATGGCTGTTTTTGGGGTCTCAAAACGAGGGACACCCTAGACTTTATGTTATTGTGGTGACAATTCCAGTACGTATGCTAGACGCTGGGGTTTGGGGGTGGCCAATTTCGAGACAGTGATATACAGTAGAAAATGAAGATATGGGTTTCGGTCAAGGTTGAAGACCCCCAGGAAACACAATGCGTGATGTTCTCTTGTCTCAAGTATCCAAATGCAATTCATCGTTTGGGGTACCCAATTTTGGAACTTGCCAATTTTTGATGGTTCATTGAACTGTCCAAAAGCTGTTTTGAACGTCACTTTATCGGTGTTCAACACAGTCTGTCATCCCTTTAGAGACTGGTTGGAAAAGGAGGTGGGTCACGACGGTCACGATAATGGAACAGAATACTCACCAAGAAAAACGTGTAGAAACCCTACAAAACAAGGAATCAGCAAGGATTTTGGTGACTTAGTGTAGTCATCCTTTAGGTAGTCTGCAAAAACATGTTTGGGTTTCCCAAAAACTAGGATTCTCCAACACATCATGGTTGATCATCATATTCCCTATTCGTCAATGGGCATTTTTATTGACGGATCCATTTGTGGAGAAACACATCATTTCAATGTACCCTTTGGTTATTTGTCACAGTTCGCCATGGACAGATCCACCATTTTTATTGACGGTACATCATCTATTTCTATGGTTCATCTATACCATAGCTATGTAAGAAATAACCAGAGGGGTATCCCTATATATTCCCATGATTTTCCCATATAAAACCATATAAAACCTCCATTTCTAGTGGATAAATGATATTTCCAAAGATTTCCCACTAATATTCTGGTTGAAGTTTCGTGCATTTTTCTGGCTCCAATCCCATCGTCGGACACGCAGGACACGCCTTATCTGGTTCCATTCGAAGCCCACCTGGACAGCTGGACCCAACATGCCCAATGGACCTGGATGACTACCCTCTGGTTATGACTGTTACATAGCCATGATTTTTCGATGGCCCTAATCGAAATAGATGGTTTACCTAGCTATAAAATGGCTGGATTTTCCATGGCTATGTGACAAATAATCAGATGGTAACCCATCAAACATGATGATTTTCAAGGATCTTCCAGCTGACGACTTGTGTTGGAGGGCAAACAACCATAAAGTAAGGTCCAACACAACTGCAAAATTATCATATGACATTGATAAACGTAACTTTTCGGTTCAATCGACCACCATTGAACCACAATCTGAGTTGGTGTTTTCACCGTCGAGCCTTCCAAAAGGGAAATATAGAACCATCTTCAACATCTTTTCTAGGGCTAAGTACCTTGAACAGAGACAATTCCAGCTGGGCCGTATATTCCACCCATTTATATCCATTGACCTACCATTCACTTAGGCGTACTGGTTACTAACCAGGAAGTACTTTGGCTGAAACTCACTTGCGAACCACTAAGAATTCTTTAAAGGATCATCTTAGTTACCCAAACCCAGGAGAATGCCTCCCTATAACTTGGCGAGTTGATCCAACAGTTTGGAGTGATCATTCACACAAGCAACTTCCGACTTCAAGAAGGATTACCGCAAGTTTTTCATGTCACTCATGATATATTCATGATATATAAGCTTAACAATTATAGATAGTTCGCTTGACATTTCGACATATTTCGACATCAAAGCGTGAACACCGGCTTGGTTTCACCAAGCCTTTCACCAAGGACTCCGTCCGTTTCACCGACTGAGTTTCCGACACATCTCATCCAAGAGCTGCAAGGACATCTCCCAGCAGCCTGGAAGGGGGTGTGTTTTTTTAACGGATCCAGGGGAAATGTGAAGAAAACATGTATTGCAAACGAAAATCTACTGCAAATAGATGTATGATGATGTATATATATACACAGTATATATATATATATACACACTATATATATATATATACATACACAGTATATATATATATACACACTATATATATATACAACATATATATATATACACCATATATATATACAACATATATATATACCATATATATACCATATATATATATACACAATATATATATATATATACATACACTATAGATATATGCACTATAGATATATGAATATGAATATGACATGACGCAATGTCTGACATTTCGTCTTTTCAGATGAGTTTGTAATGGCCATGGCCTGCTCGGCCACAGCCGGAGAGGGCAGCACAAAAAATGGTCACCTGGGGTGAGGCACTGGGTCAACCTGAAACAAAGGTATCATGAGGTTGAGAATTGCTATATATATATAATTATATAATATATACACACATATATATATGGCTATGATCAATGGTTATCATTTTAAGTCATCACGAATTCACAACTATATCAGCTATTTACGGGTCTGCGCCCCCCTAACCACTGGCTCCAAATCCTTCACCCGGCGGACCATGATGAAACGATTGTTGATCTCCCGGCCCCACACCGCTCAGCCCGCCGCATCTAAACCCAAAGGTCGAGCTGCCTGCGTTGCGCTGTCTTGACATGGTGAAATCGGAGGCGGAAATGAAGAGGTCCAATGTGGATCTTCAATGTATATACATATATATAGTATATATATATATATATTTATATTGTCATATATATATATATATTGATCTTGATGGTAATGATTTCAGGGAAGATTAATCGTCATTATCCATGTGAACCGATGTCCAAAATATGGCTGACCCCAGGCCGCTGCTAATCCAGCCATGAACAGAAAATCTGCTCGCCTCAAAGAGTCTCATGGCCCAACGCCACCTCCGACCTGAAATTGAGGCTCCAAAGGTCTGACTGTGATGATATTAGTCTCGATATACTGATATATAACAACCAATATCATCAAGAATTGTAAAAACAATAGATATACATAGTTATAGAATCATCTATAATGTAATAAATGAAGTATCTATACAATTATAATCATCCATGAAATTAAAGATGGTTTCTAGATATTGTTACAATCAAATATCTATATATAATTCTACGAAACCAGATCTAATCTTATCTAAAACTAGATCTAAATAAAATCCATCTAACCTGATCTAATCCAATCTCCTCGAATCATGTATCTAGATATGGCTGCTGTATCACATATTACATACTGAAATATCCATGAGCATAGCACTTTACCACTTTATAACCACCGGACATCCAGAAACCGAAAACGCCGGCCTTGGGCACAGGCGCTCACTGCGGTGCTACATGCCACCAGGCTAAGTTGCAGCGACATCTCACCTGGGGAGTGAGAGTGGGAGATTTCTGGAGTTTGTAGATAGTTCTATATGGGGTTATATATATTGTATATTTGTAGATATAGAATCTATATAAGTTATATATATTATATATATATATATATTATTATTATTATTATTATTATATATTATTATTATTATATATATTATATTATATATATTATATATATTATATATTATATATATATATATCATGGTGATATTATTATGTTATATCCCAACTGGGGTAAACACCTGGCCATGGTGACATAGCAATGAAACGAAAAGCCACACTCCACCTCTTGTTGGGGGGAAATGCATGACAAAATGCCAAGAAGGGGAATAACCAGGAACCACAAATGGATATACTCCCACAAACTACTGATTCACATTTCCCTTAACATGAACATTAGAAGATTTCATTGCCAAACTTTGCAAGACATGCCACACATACGGATACAACTTGCAAAACTAGGGATACCATTGGGTGCATGACCCGAATTTGAGATCTCCAGCCATATCCTTGTCTTTTTTTTGAAACCATGGACACAAACAGTGACCAGCCCAAGATTTTCCAGTTGCGTATTACAAAACCACCCCATAGAAATTTCAACCAACGCATGGAAAGCTTGTTGCTCCACCATTTATCCCCATTACCCTTTGGTAATTTAACATAGCTATGGAACATGGCCCATAGAAACAGATGATTTTCCCATTAAAACCTCCATTTATAATGGATGTTCCATAGCTATGTTAAATTACCAGAGGGTTTTTTTGGCCCGTCATATCTCCATCAAAATGGCGATGGAACCCATTTGGAAAACATGGTCATCATATATGCCACAGTCAAAACATGGTATGGGCACTGTAGTAAGCACATCCCACAAAAAAGGAATCCCACACATCATGGGCACTTTTAAAAAAAATCCGTATGAAAATGGATTGATATTTGGTGACTATATTTGTGTATCCATTTCACTATTATTTGTATATGATATACATAGCTATTGGATGATCCATTTCACTATTATTTGTATATCATCCAATGAATCTGAGCAAATTGGTGACTTATCCAATAAAAAAATCCCTTTCTGAATATATCCCTGAAAAAAATCACCAATACTCCATGGTCGGTTAAATCGAACTAACTTGAAATATGGCACATGTGAACTTCATATGGCTAATATCAATGTTTTTTTTTTGGAATATGATGGGAATATTCACTAATGAATATCCCATGAATATCCCGTGGAAAATCATCGTTTCCATAGCACAAAGAAGGCATAGCGGATCCACTCAGTTTCCAGGCTGGCTTCGGACAGCAGCGCAAGAGCCTGGCACTTCGGAAAGGTGAAATTGGGCCAAATTGGAAGGAATTTCTATGGATGAAATTGGACTTGATGGATTTGTATATGGATTTTTATATGAAATTGTAAATGGAATATGGATATAGAACCTTGGGATTTTGGGAGTTTACATCACTTTGCTTCATCGATTTCTATACAAAGTCGCTATTTTTTTACTATCCATATTGCTCAAAGTGGCACAGGACGGCAGGTGAAACCCCAACGGATACCATACCATGCCTGTGACATTTCCTATTCCGGGAACGGGTTTATGTGGATGAACACGAATACAATCCTTCATTGGGATATTCTAGGTCGGAGTAGGATTTTTTTTGGCAAATTCCTGGGAAACTGCACCAGGGGTAACTATCTATCGACCGGATATTTAGGGTGTCCTGGAAACGAAATTTGGTCACCCGATTTACCCAGGTATGATGTTGCCACAGGCCAACATAAACCATCGCTTTCTTAATGGTGGCATCACCGTTTTCAGGACCCACATATTCTACTGGTTGATGGTTTCACCCCCAAAAGATTCAGGGCGAAAAAAAGGGGATCTTCATCATCTCAGGGATGGAAGAACCGAAACCAGATATGATAAGATATGCCCCGTAAATTAACATAGACCCTGAAAAATAAGGGTTGGAAGATTAGTTTCCACTCAAAAATTGGTCATTTTCAAGGTCCAACTGTTAATTTACCAAAGGGACTGTTGGAATTATCTCCCCACTTCACCAGGCGTCCAGACCAAGTCCCATCGTGCACAAAGCTCGCAACCGGCCTTGGAGGTGACAATGAGTTGGAGGGGGGGATATATGGGGGATATCAGTCTTAAATATGGGGGATATATGACCAATGATTGGTCAGAGAGTATGAATTGGGAATTTTATGGAATTTTACACCCAAAAGTCTTCCGAAAATCCAAGTCCCCCCCAAGATTACTCCCCATACAAGATGGGCCCCCAAGATAGCTAAGTTGGTTTATAAGTGGTTTAACTATGGTTTATGGTAGATATAACTATAGTTAATAGGGATTATCATGATTTATAAACCAACTTATAACTGGGGGGGCCCATCCTGTAGTCATTGGTTTTTTTTTTTTACAGCAAGGGAAACCACCTGAGCCCCCTCTGCTGAGGTGCCATTGCTGAACCGAACGAGACAATATCAGGCCTTTCTGCGGGGAGCCCGTGGAGCCCGTGGAGCCGTTGGACTTGTAGGAACGACTGCCATGAGAAAAACCGGGGAATCCGTCTGCAAGACATGTGAAGCATTGGGATATCAATCAACAAACCTGGGACTTGAAATCTAAGAATTCGCTGCCTCGACATTCTTCACCATCTAGGGGCAATGAGTCATTGCTGGTTGGTTCACTAAGCCATCCCAATGGCGCCTTCGAAAAAGCAATTCCGATGATTCCGGGAAGGGGTTGATTCCATGATTCTCCATAATTTTGGGATGAACCAGACATTAACCAGACATTTTTGATGTGAATCAAGGTTGTCAACCTTAGATACCCAGCAAAAAAAACATGTCCCTGCATGTGAACATTCCCATATCTCTATTGATGAAACCCATGTCATATATATATATACATACACACATGTCATGTTTTTTGTTATATAGTATATTTTTCCGTTGGAACGGATGAGTCCGTTACGGGCAAAACTAAGGTGCAGACACCAGCTGGCACGAGCGCATCCGTCTCAAGGTCTCCAGAGCTTCCTGCCATTGCCTGATCCAGCCATTGATCCAGAAATGAAGACATACTTGACATAAGTATGTCATTGCATGTCAATTTATTGTTGTTTCAATATCGACATGTTCGATTCAATTGGAATTGCGAGACGTTTTTTTTCATTACACATAAATATTACACTCCCTAGATTTGACATCCAAGGAACACCCCCATCCAGTGGGGTCTCCGATCAAATCGCCATGATTTGTGAAACCTTGGTCGCTTAAATAGTGGCCCTTAAAAAACCCGGCCAACACATCTGCATTTGTTGCAACTCATCTAATATTTGTTGCTGAAAGCTGCGATGAAGATTTTCGCTGAAAAAATCCTGAAAAATCCTCCATTTCTTCCACCCTTTATGATGTTTCCTACTTAAATCCTATATCTTTACTTGGTGAAATCCCCAATTTGCCAGAAAATTCATCCCTGGAAACCTGGCTCGCTCACAGGCATTCAGCAACGCATTGAAGGTCACTACCTGGGCCAAACTGAAACGGGCGACGACTTTTCCGGAAGCATTTGGAAACGACCGGAATACATGTGGCATATTTTTCCACATGGGGGTTGCCATAAATGGGGGGGTACCCCCAAAATTGATGGTTTATAATGGACAATCCGATGAACATGGATGAGAACTGGGGGGAAACCCCATTTTAGGAAACCTCCATAGGGATTTATTGAACACACAGTTTTCTGGAAAAGGCTGGAAGCTGCAGTGATACCAATAGTCATTCATTTTCTCAAAGATACTAAAAGCATTGAAAAATAAGCACAGTGAGATGTCTTGGCTTGAAAACAAAGCAAACTGAAGAAACTAACAATGTTTTGAAAATAGAACTAGGATAGGAGATAACCATGGTCTTTACCACCTGGATATTACACTACGGGGATATACATAGTCGGATTTTATTGGTGCTATAAGATCTCAATTTTTATGTAGATGAAGTGGGATATATATGATATATGTAACCAACGATTTGAGATGGGTTTGTTCAACATGTTTTTTCCCCTAGTTTTTTTCTGGAAACCAACTACAACCATTTCTGGCAATTTGACGCCGATGATCAACCAATGGTGGGTTTTGGGGGTCATCCTGGTGGAATGTGGAAATTCTTAGCAGATTTTCCAGTTTGTTTTGTGGAAATCAGGTAATTTTTCTAAAACTCAGGTTATTCTAAATCTTGTTTATGTTAAATCAGTTTGAAATAATCTTGGCAGTTTTTTTTAAAACCATTATTTAACATTTTCTTCAGGATCCGTGGAAGCGGAAAAAAAGGCACGATGTTTTTGTGATTTCCAGAGGATCGGTGGCATATCACATACCACAAAATGGCAGGGACAATGACAATGGCTACATACATATGTTATAATGTATACCTATATACAGATATAACAATACAAATATATATATATATGTATATATTTCCATATATATTTCCATATATATATATATGTATACATATATTAATATATATGTTTCCTTTAATTTTAAGACAAAGCCATTGGACTTTGACTTCCCATAAAGTATGGGTCCACTGGGCGCTTCGCACGTCAGGTGTCAATCCTTCGTCCTTCAGGATCTCAATGAGTTCCTTCGGGATACACCGGAGATACCATGGGGATTAGGTCTATACCATTATTTATAGATATACCATATGATATACCATGATATGATATGTATATAGATATTAGATATACCATTATCATGATTATGATGGGATATTATTAGATATACCATGATTAATCCTGATATGATATACCATGATATGATATACCATGACATGATATTGGTAAAATTTTTATGATATGATATGGCTTTGTCCAAAAATGGGATACCAGGGTAGCCCAAGAATATCCAAGAATTGCAACATTTTTCAATGGGAAGGTGATGATCGCCGAGATGAGGTGCACACAGGTACACTGCAGGTCAACTCCCAGACTGTTCGATTCATAGCTGGGAACATCCCGGGTTCTTCCTTTGCGGGCGTCATTTGGGGATGATTCCCAGAAAAACACAGTCATTCCAGTCACGTGAGGTCGTCGTTAATCCAGATATCATAGCTCTTCGAACATCCCATAAAAACATTGTCATGTGATGAACCATTAACCATTACTAACCCTTATTAACCCTTGTTTAACCATTATTCAAACCTTATTCAGCACCTTCTCCACCGTCCTGAACCACTTCCAGTCTTCGCGCCCCCGCTGTGGCGCTGCATGCAGCGTTGAAGGCAATGAGATCTCGCCTGAGCCAGGCATTGGACGTAACGGAACCGAACGGAACCCAAGTGGATTCGACATATAACTACCATTTGACCATCCGTTTACACCCATATTTTTTTTTGGAGGGTATATTTGGATGGGGTCTAGATATACACAAAAAATAATTATAAATAAACAGGGTATTTCATATGGTTATTGCATGGTATGACCCATACATAACTGGGCTTTTCGTCATTTCTTCATATTTGTACCACACTTCCGAAGTTTTGGATGCACCTTTTTTGCGCAGAAACTGGAATTGGAACAGTGGATAACAGGGTTTTATGGGGGAAATCATCTAGAAATTCATCATCTCCTGGGTCACATTTTCGACCGAGATGGCAAGTTTTGGCCAAAACTCAATCGGGGTCACTACGGTCACTACCACCATCTGGCATCGAGGCACTGAAGTTTCCAGTGTGGCATCTGGTTGAGCAACTCCAAAGCTCTTTCCCATTGACCTCGGAGTCGAATTTTTGCGAAAGGTGTCACAAAAACCAAAACGTCTCCAAAAAAATCAGGTTCATTGGATTTACCTTCTGGTTATTTGTCACATAGCCATGGAAAGATCCACCATTTTATAGCGAACGGTAAACCATCTATTTCTATGGGTCATCGAAAAACCATGGCTATGTAACAGTCATAACCAGAGGCTACATCGAAAAAAACATGCCGATCCATCCCATGGGTATTGGAAAGATCCAACTTTTGACGGCCATGGATCGAACTGAACATGGATCGATCTCATGGCGCAGTTTCTAAATAAATACAAATCTTGAAGGCTTCAAAGGTGAAAACCTTACCCTCTGGTAAACTGTCACATAACTATGGAAAATCACCATTTTTCATGGGAAAACTCACTATAAATTGCCATTTTCAATAGCTATTTTGACATAACCAGAGGGTAATGTGAAGTTCAAATAATTTGGTATACCCAGAAATGCTTCCAGTGACCTGACCACAGGGTGGTTTCGTGTTGAACCGGGAAAAAACGGATGGACAATCAAACATCCTCTAAGCCATCAACTGAAATATTAACCCACATACTGTGGATGGGCCAGCGAAATCCTGCACCACCAAAAGGATGGTAGAACGCCTATAAATGATCACCCATGACTTGTCCGTCATATCCCCTCCAATGATATGAGTGGTTTCTCGTGGTTTTCAAATCCTTCCATCGCTTTTGGAAGTTGACATCATTTTTGATGGTTCAGACGCAATTCGCCATGATGAAACCCTCATTTTTGCCGGTGAAATCCACATTTTCGCCGCTGGCCCAGGCCGAAAAAAGTCTCGAAGTCCGAGTCGCCCATTTCACAGGCCACCAGGGTGGAGGTGACGGTGACCTGGTGAATTTAGTCACGAATGGCAATAAAAAGAGGGGATGCTGGGGATATATCATCTATTTATCTAATCTAATCTAATCTAATCTATCTATAATTAAATATATTATCAATTATTATCAATCATCATCAATTATCATCAATATCATAATTATCATTTGTTATTATCATCTATCAATATCACCATCACCACCACCACCACCATCATCATCATCATCATCAATATGAATCATCAATCATCAATCATCAATCATGTAGGTGGTATAGGGTATATCAGTATGTCTATATACATTAATATATTCCCATGATATATTCTACTGAATATGATGGCAATTTAAGCAGCAAAAATGGTTTGCTCAACCATCTTTTTTGTTTTTCCCCTAAACATTCAGACAAGGCCATTTTTTTGAAGCGGGACGATTCCCCTCAGGGTTTTCCTAAGAAGATAATCTAAAGTATTTCTTTTTTCCCAGTAGCATTTTGTTGGGAACATATTTAAAAAAGGGGTAACATGGTTTGAAAAACACAACTCACCACAATTTAATTTTTAATATAGAAACTAGATTCCGAATAAACTAGACTGTAAACTGGGAATAGCTGGGGCATGCTAAGTTGGATATTCATTTCGGAAATGATATTGGGATATGAAGTGGGGATAGGATAGGGCGATAGCGGCACTGAGTTGGGATAAACATCAATGCATTGGCTTCCCATAGGGCTGGAAGATACAGTAAATTCAAACACATGAATAGCATATTTATGAAGCAATTTGGGATGCAAACTATGATGCCCAGCAGGAGGATCTTGATTTTGGAATGATATTGTGCATATCAAGACCTCAAAGTTCGTGCCTGGCAGTCTCCTGCTATGTCAGAAGAACCCAGTAGCCCTCTCTGCAGGTTTGAAGTGAGATATCTGATGCCAAATCATGTACTAATCACTTACCTGCTTTCAGCATCAATATATCAGCTCCAGCAAACACAAACATGTCCGTGTCTGTGCCTGTAATAAAGCAAATTGTCACTCATTTGGATTATTCACAGGACTGTACCCTCTGGTAAACTAACATAACTATAGAAAATGACCATTTTCAATGGGAAAATCCACTATAAATGGTCATTTTCAATAGCTATTTTGACAAAAACGCATTTCAGCATCAAGTTGATGCTCAGCGCATCATTTATCGGATTGAATCCCCATTTTCGTTGGTGAATTCCCAAGACTTCACGGTACTTCCACCAGTATCCACTCTTTTTAAAGGGCCTCATCGATGTCCTCCGCATTCTGAAGCATCTGGCGTTTCGAATTTCGACCCCACTAATGGGATAATCATGGGCTTATTGGATAATGATATAATGGGATGAGAATGGGACAACTGTAACCCATCCCCAATAGAGATTTATGAAATGGGGTTGTCCGACATATTTGGGATGATGTTTTAGGTGGCCCTCAGTTGATGAATGGGATGGTTTATGATTGGGTTTGCCACATTATGATTCATGATAACATCATTGAAAGCAAACATATATCATAGAACTAGCATTAATGTTAACACATAATGATATGGATTTCCCTCTAAAACCCTCTAAAATAAACCATGAGGATCTCTTGGGATATTATGGGACTTTAACCGTTATAATAATATGATGATCATGGGGTAAATCCCACTTTTGACCAACTTTTCATTCGACTTACCTTGCCGTGACATGTGCGTTTCTCAGGGTCTCATGTGGGTAGGAAAAATCTGGAGTCAACTCCACATCAGTTTGGTGAAATGATTTTTCCCAGTGGTTAAGGTGGTGAATTTCCAGTGCTTGGGAGACTGAATTCGTAGCTCCAAATGGCACAGCATTTTGGGGAAAAAGTTGGATGCCATCATGGGTCGCTCTGAAATGATGATTCCAAATCCCACTTTCATGTGGGTAAAACAATGCCATGTTTACCATCCCCCAGTCATCACCATTTTTATAGGTGGTATAGAATTATTCCCAGTCATGGGTGGTTTATGGAATTGTTTGACCCACATTACTAACATGTACTAACCATCATTTTGGGTGAGGTCGTGGGCAACGTCACAGATCACCATCTTCCAGGAGTCTGACGAGCCTCCGCCAACAAGGCAACGGCTACTTCCCAAGCACCGCCTCGGGCAATTTTGGGCCTCCGTTTTTGGATCTGTTGATTCATATCAAATAATTCAAAGATGTGCAAAGTGCAAACATGACCACTGTTGATGATAATATCACCAGTTGGTAGGATGGCTAGATAATATATATATATATATGTATATGTATTCATATTCAACATTTGGAACACTTTGGATCATGGCATGTGAAGTCGGCTAAAGTTGGCAAGCAGGTTGACAGAAGCACGGTGCCCCTCCCCAAACTTGAAGTAGTGGGTGTCGCATCCATCATTCCAACTTGACCGGGCTGAATTATGGCATAAATCACAAACATATGGCAGTGTGTCAAAACCTTGTACCCCTGGTGAACATCAAAATAGCTGGTAAATGGATGTTCATCCCACTAAAATGGTATTAATAGGTATTGATCCATACCCATATGTTAGGTAAACCCAAAGGGCTTCGTCTATAGGAACCAGATCTGAGGCTAAGAGCCTTACATAAACCAAAGACGTAAAGAACCAACATAAAACAACGTAAACGCAACATAAAAGCAAACACAAGTGAATCATAAAGACATCGGAAACTCATCATAAACAGAACGCAAGTGAATCCACAATAAAACATAAAACGACTCATCAACAAAACACAAACGAATCCACAAACCATTCTGGCAGTCATGTGTCCCAACTGTCGCGCACGTGTTTCCATCTTCTCTGGAGGTGAGCGGAGTTATGTGACACAATGTTTGCTCTGTGTTTCACTTGTGTTTGACATACGTTTTGTTTGCGCAGCACTTGCGTCAGGCAAAAGTCTAAGATCTTATTCTGGGAAAATAAGATCTTAGGATTTTGACATACATAAAAAAATACAAGCGAAACACAAACAAAACATAAACAAAACACAAATGTAGCATAAATTTGTTTATGTTTTTTTTGTGTTCTGTTTATGTTTTGGTTTATGTTTTGTTTGTGTTTTTTGTGTCAATTATTTGCGTAAGGCCTTATTTTTTTATGTTTTTTTTTGTGTTTTTTTTGTGCAGACAAGCATAAAGAAACACAAAAAAACATAAAATAAGGCCATACGCAAATCATCGACAAAAAAAACAAATCAAACATAAACAAAAAATAAACCAAAACAGAAACAGAACACAAAAAAACATAAACAAGTTTATGCTACATTTGTGTGTTGTTTATGTTTTGTTTGTGTTTTTCCCCAAACAGTGTACTGTTAGGGGTTCTTAATGCTTTCTAAGGTGTCCGCCTTGGTGTTGGATGGTGTGTCCGCCTTCCCGAGGGTCTTGTCTCCCCTTGTCTCCCACTGTCTCCCCACATGTGTGCCTGTATTGGATGGTGTGTCCGGGTCTTGTCTCCCCTTGTCTCCCCTTGTCTCCCACTGTCTCCCACTGTCTCCATGTGTGCTGTTGCCTTGTCTCCCACTGTCTACCCACATATGTGCCTGTATTGGATGTCCGCCTTCCCGCGGGTCTTGTCTCCCCTTATCTCCCCTTGTCTCCCCTTGTCTCCCCCTGTCTCCCACTGTCTCCCACTGTCTCCCCACATGTGTGCTGTTGGATGGTGTGTCCGCCTTCCCGAGGGTCTTGTCTCCCTTCTCTCCCCTTGTCTCCCGCTGTCTCCCACTGTCTCCCCACATGGGCGCGTGTGTTGGATGGTGTGTCCGCCTTCCCGAGGGTCTTGTCTCCCCTTGTCTCCCCTTGTCTCCCCACATGTGTGCCTGTATTGGATGGTGTGTCCGCCTTCCCGAGGGTCTTGTCTCCCCTTGTATACCCTTGTATCCCCTTGTCTCCCACTGTCTCCGACTGTCTTCCCACATGTGTGCTGTTGCCTTGTCTCCCACTGTCTCTCCACATATGGGCCTGTATTGGATGGTGTGTCCGCCTTCCTGCGGGTCTTGTCTCCCCTTGTCTCCCCTTGTCTCCCACTGTCTCCCCACATGTGTGCCTGTATTGGATGGTGTGTCCGCCTTCCCGCGGGTCTTGTCTCCCCTTGTCTCCCCTTGTCTCCCACTGTCTCCGACTGTCTTCCCACATGTGTGCTGTTGCCTTGTCTCCCACTGTCTCCCCACATATGGGCCTGTATTGGATGGTGTGTCCGCCTTGCCGCGGGTCTTGTCTCCCCTTGTCTCCCCTTGTCTCCCCTTGTCTCCCCCTGTCTCCCACTGTCCCACTGTCTCTCCACATGTGTGCTGTTGGATGGTGTGTCCGCCTTCCCGAGGGTCTTGTCTCCCTTCTCTCCCCTTGTCTCCCGCTGTCTCCCCACATGTGCGCGTGTGTTGGATGGTGTGTCCGCCTTCCCGAGGGTCTTGTCTCCCCTTGTCTCCCCTTGTCTCCCACTGTCTCCCCACATGTGTGCCTGTATTGGATGGTGTGTCCGCCTTCCCGAGGGTCTTGTCTCCCCTTGTATACCCTTGTATCCCCTTGTCTGCCCTTGTCTCCCCTTGTCTCCCACTGTCTCCGCGCATATGTGCCTGTATTGGATGGTGTGTCCGCCTTCCCGCAGGTCTTGTCTCCCCTTGTCTCCCCTTGTCTCCCCACATGTGTGCCTGTATTGGATGGTGTGTCCGCCTTCCCGAGGGTCTTGTCTCCCCTTGTCTCCCCTTGACTCCCATTGTCTCCCACTGTCTCCCCACATATGTGCCTGTATTGGATGGTGTGTCCGCCTTGCCGCGCGTCTTGTCTCCCCTTGTCTCCCCTTGTCTCCTCTTGTCTCCCACTGTCCCCCCTTGTCTCCCACTGTCTCCCCACATGTGTGCCTGCATTGGATGGTGTGTCCGCCTTCCCGCGGGTCTTGTCTTCCCTTGTCTCCCCTTGTCTCCCGTTGTCTCCCCTGTCTCCCACTGTCTCCCACTGTCTCCCACATGTGTGCCTGTGTTGGATGGTGTGTCCGCCTTCCCGAAGGTCTTGTCTCCCCTTGTCTCCCACTGTCTCCCCACATGTGCGCCTGTGTTGGATGGTGTGTCCGCCTTCCCGCGGGTCTTGTCTCCGCTTGTCTCCCACTGTCTCCCACTGTCTCCCCACATGTGTGCTGTTGGATGGTGTGTCCGCCTCCCACTGTCTCCCCACATGTGCCCCTGTGTTGTCCGCTTTCCCGAGGGTCTTGCCTCCCCTTGTCTCCCACTGTCTCCCACTGTCTCCCCACATGTGTGCCTGTATTGGATGGTGTGTCCGCCTTCCTGCGGGTCTTGTCTCCCCTTGTCTCCGACTGTCTTCCCGCATGTGTGCTGTTGCCTTGTCTCCCACTGTCTCCCCACATATGGGCCTGTACTCCTAGTTGTGGAAGTCAAAGCGTCCTAGGTGCCTAGGTGGGGGAGAAATTTCTGGAAGTCGGTGATGTTGCGTCCAGTTGGTGTTTAGCATGTTTGTGTTTTCTCCAATTGATGGTTTATCGTGAGTTTTTCATGGATACCATGCAGATGGTTGTAGCTATTCCCTTGTTTTGGGAGTTTTGTACATCACTGAATGGTGTCCTGTTGTCCTTGGACAGATAAGCAGGCGGTGATGATGTAGCTCAGCTCCCATTTGTGGCTCGCTCTGTTGTGCAAGATTTATACAAACACCGACGAATACTGGGTCGATGTTGTAACAAGTGCCAATGACAAGATCTTGTGCCAAATCGTGGTGTGCCTATGGGGAAAGGCCCGCATGGGCAGCGCCTATGACTTTAACTTACTGATGTGTTTTGTGGCACTTCGCATAGGCACGCGATGCTTACCTGTCATATCTTTTTGGGTTTACCCCACTATACTCCCAAAGATGAAAGTCGTGGCAATTGTTTACTTGTTTGCCAAGCTTGCGTCCCTTTGTCTCCCCTCTGTCTCCCTTACTCGCCCTTTGTCTCCTCTTCTCTCTCCTTGCTCTTGCTTGCAGCTGCTGCTTGGCTTGGTTTCCTCTTCTGCTCCACCGCTGAAAGCTCTTGAGTTTTACTGTTCTGAAAAGAATGCGAAAGCGTGTGGCTACCAAAGAGTTTGTCAGGAGACTTAGGGGGTCAGTCTCCCAAAATTCGATGACCTCGATTGGACCTCGTTTGCACCTGGTTCGGACCTCGTTAAAATTGCAGCCAGTCAAAACCCAGCCCGGAGAGGTTTTGGAAAGGCTTTGCAATGGTCTGCTGCTTGGTCTGCTGCTGCTGCTGTTGTTGTTGCTTGTGCT